CATAAAGTGATACTTGTGAGAAGTGTGCCTCTTAGCTCAAGTAGATACAAGACACTAAAAGGGTAGCTTCTGTCCGGAGGTGAGATGGGAAGGCAGAGAGGGTTAGGAGCTGGTTGAATGGACATGGAGAATCAGGGGTGGAAGGGAGGAGTGTGCTGTCACAGTATGGGGAAAGCAATTAGAGTCACATAAAAATGTATGCATAAATTTTTGTATAGGAAAAAATAAAAAAATAAAAAGGCAACAAGGGGAACTTAAGGACAGCACATCCATCTTTAGAAAATTGAAAACTGAAATGTTCTAAAGAGGTTGCAGTTTTAAGCTTGCAGGAGGAAATTCTACTAACACCTGGTTCATTCTAGAAGCCAACAGGAGAATTTTAATCCCTCTACTTATTGGATATGATCTTTATTTGAACAAAGTAAGACATGTGAATCTGAGCAAGCAGCTTCACTTCTTTGGGTCTTGTTCTCTTGATCTTTAAAGAGATGTTTGGAGTAGTTAAAGATCCATCCGGTTTCTTTCAGCTTCAAAATTCTGAGTCTATTCTCTAAACTCTGACAGGATTAAAAAATAATTTCAAAGGTCTGTATTATTTCCAGTCTGAGAAAAATCATGCATTTATAAGTCAAGTGGTGTTTTCTCCACAGCACTTGTCTGCCACACCTGTGACCTGTGAGAGACAGTTCAGTTTACATGATACCCTCGTGTGGCTGTGGTGTAGAAAACCTCATCTTGAATGAATCTAAACCTGGTTTTTGGCAACACGTTTGAGAAAAAGCCAATTCATTCACTGAGGCCCATTGTCATGGACAAAATGACTGGTGGGATCCTCTGCTATCATAGTGATGAAAGGAGTGGACAAGTTGTGGGGCAGAGTTTTCCTACGCCCCATAATTAGGCTGAGGAAAGATCCCAGAATGAATCCCTGCACTCCAGGGTTGAAATTCCAGCTATGCCATTTTCCAGCTACACGAACTTGGACAAGTTACTTTACCATTCCGAGCCCCAGCCTTTACGTCTGTGAAATGGTGCTTAGGCCTTATAGGCTTTTTGTAGGGCATAAACAGGTAATATGTAAAGTACCTAACACCACGTGTGGCATGTAGTGAGCACTCAGTGGTTTATCATTATTTATAAAAAGTATATCTCATATATTGGGCATGAAAAAAAAGAAATTATCAGCAATACTCATAAAAATTTATGTACGTTGCATTATTTAAAACAGTAAATATGCGGCAACAACTTAAAATTTGCAATAATGGGGAAAATGTTTAATAGATTTTTAAAAAGATATTGACATTGGTAAATGCTCATCACAATATTAAATTTCAAAAGATTACAAAACAGAATATACACCTCTGATAATATACATATATACATGTATACGTGTAGAAAGGCCCTAGACAAAAGGAGGTAGAATTAACAGTGATTTTATTTTCTTCTTCTTAGTTTTCATATTTTCTGTATAAAATGAACATGCATTACTTTCATAATGAACACAATTCTGAAAAGATAAAAATCACAGAGAGTAAGAGATCTATAAATAGTGGCTAAAACAATAAAGGACGAACTTGGCATGGAATCCATTTAAACCGTACATACATCAAACAGACACTCAAAGAGACTTCCTGAAGGAGAACAACTATCCAATAAGATAAGAAATTCTGACACATCAGGCCTTTCTGACACATTCATATGCACAGGTCTAACAGTCTACCACCTTAGAACCACTGTAATATACTACAAGTTTGTCCATATATTCTTTCCCTCTGGTTATTGCTTCATTTAAATACACCTCTTAAAAGGGGAGAGGGAGAATCCAGCTACTCTGCAGCCTTTTAAACATGTAAAACACCTCAGAACACCTCAGAATATGATTTTCATCATGTTACTAAATTTTAAGTAACAGTTAAAGAAAATATAAATATACTAAGGAAAAATACTTGGGTACTTGATATTCTAAAAATTCAGCTGTGAGAAAATAATTATTATATCTGTTTAGGAGGTAATTACTGCTAAGCCTAGGGGCTCCAAAGATAGAGAATACATAGTCCTTGCTACTAAAAGCTGACAGTCCAAAATCCAACATAATGTAACTGAGTCACCACAGAGGCAGAGCAACCAACTTTTATGTACAAGCAATTTCATGCCTAAACCTATAAAATATAAACTAACAAGATTAAATATATTGATTTTTAAAACAGCATACCTGAACAATCTTCATTTTCAGATAGGTGGGACCATCTCAGCATTTCTCTTACTAGTTGATCACATAATCCTTGAGCATCATTCAAATTATAGTTATAGAGGTAGCAGTATAAGAGAGAAAGATAATAGCGTATCTGAAGAAAACACGTCCTTTTTCCTCCTTCAAAAGAAAAAGAATTAAGCTTACATTAAAAACATGGTAGTAAGGTAATGTTCATGATCTGGGTGCTAGTTAGATAAGTGTGTTCAATTCGTGAGAATTCATCAAGCTGTGTACACTAGTAATACCTATATGTTTTATACTTAAAAGATTTTTTTAAATAAATCAGCAATACTTTGCTCTTTTTCATGTTAAATTCTGAACAATTTTCTTTTCTTTCATCAGGACCTAGGATGACTAAGATCTGGTCCAAAGAAAGTTGCCAATCCTCATTGTCTCAGCACTAAGATCCATCAACAACTTCTATCTAAAGTACACACAGTACAGTATGACACAAAAGGGAACATGCTATAAAACCGCTAAGCAACCATACACATATCAGACACTCAAAGAGACTTCCTGAAGGAGAACAACTATCCAATAAGATAGGAAACCCTGTTCACATACCTGAAGGGTATCTAGAACAGAGATTGCTGGTTGCCTGTCCTTTAGTCATTCTTCCTGAATAAGAGAACCTCAATTTTATTGGGGATACAATGCACCCAGGTCACAAAAGATCACAATTTCCAGCTAGATGTGGCCATATGAAAATGTGACTATGTTCTGAACCAAGGGAATACTGTATAGAACTTCCAGGAAAACTGTTTAAAGAGAGGTAACTCATCTGCAAGGTGCGTCGTTTCTTGCCTTTCTCCCCTTCCTTCTTTATGCTGCCTAAAATGTGGATTTCACAGCTGGAGCTCTAGCAGTCATCTCAGCCCACATAATGGCCTTAAGACTGGAAGCAATATACAGATGACAGAGTAGAAAAACTAAAAGAGCCTGGGTCCTTGATAATACCATGGAAACACCAAATCAGCCCTGGACTGTCAACCTATGGCCACCTTTCACAAAAAAGAGAAATAAACTTCTTCCTTATTAAAGCCACTAATAGTTTTAGTCCCCATTACTAGAAACCACTGCTAATGGATAAAGTTGGAAATGAAATTAAATGAAATGCCCATAATGGAACTCTAGAAAAATGTTTCTTCATCTAGAACTTCCTAACTCACTGAATGCCATTCTTACTCATCCAGTGGAATAATCACCAAATCTAAGAACACCATTAGACTTCTTTCTCCATATCTACTCAGTCACAAGCCCAACTGATCAAACCTATGAAATATCTGTCAAATGTGGCCTTTGTTTTCCATTATCTTTGACACTGCTTTGGTTCAGGGCTTCCTCATCAGACTACTTTCCTTGCTTCTAGGTAAAACTCACACCTCTACACCTCCACTCCTGCAAATGACCCTCCACACTGTAACAGAATGATTTTTCTAAATGACCTATATTTGAATAGGCACTTTTCCTACATAAAGTATCTTAACTGATCCTACTGCCTTCAGGATAAAATCTTAACTCCTCAACACTGTACACAAGACCTTCCTTCATGTTCTATGACCTACCTACCTCCCCAGCCTTAATTCTCACCACCCAATCCCCAATATTACACACACATATCACACAATCCAGTCCTACTAAACTACTTGCAGTTTGCCAAACTGCCATGGTTTCTCATGCCTTTCTGCCTTTGGAATGCTACATCCTCTGCTTAAGCCGTTCTCACTACTTTAAATGGCCAATTTCTACTCAATTTCAAATGCCACCTCCTCCAGGTAGTCTTCCCAAGACTGATGCTTATATTCCAGCCTCAGAGCGTATGAAATGTACTTCTGAGCTCTCCTAGCACCCTAACCATACAACATAATGAGAAAAGTGCTAGTTGTTTATCAGTGCTTTGAAGCAGTTCATTCCAGTTCGAACTCCTGCTAAGAATTTACGTTTGTAACAAGTTCCCTGCTGAGAATTTGATTTCCACCCCAGATATACTGAATCAAAATCTACATTTTAATAATATCTTGGGGGTGATTCTTATGTACGACTTCCTGGGAACTTGTTAGAAATGCAAATTCTCAGCAAGGGTTCAAACCAGAACGAACCGGTTCAAAGCCTTGATTATATAATCTCTCTCTCCTCCAGACTGTAAGCAACTTGAGGGTAAAGCTGTTTTATTTCAGTTAATCTCAGTGCCTGATACAGGTCTGTGCATACAGCAAGCACTCAATAAATACTGGTTAAATAGGTAAATAACTGAAACATACTAAGCCATTGGAGTCAGTAAATAAATTTAATAATTGACCATATCTGACCACGTAGCAGCCGCAGCCAGGGCTAGCTCCAAGGTCACCCTTAGAACTTGTATCATCTCAGCCCCACTCTCAGTCCTATATCATAAAGCTATCAGCAGTTTCTAGAAGCCAGGCATCCTCATCAAAAACTCCATGTAGCCCATATTTAATGCAACAGCCAGTCTAACTCATAGGAAATTCTTAAAGTTGAATGAATTAAGGGCAGAAGGCCTTAGCTACACGTTTCTCTAAGTCTCTAAGTATGTGGCAAAATATTTGATCTGTACTTTCCCATTTAGATATCTGCAGTCCCTCTAAATGATAAAAACATTATTTATGTTCTTAATCTTCTCATTTTTTCCCCCTCAACAATCAACCACAGATTCCATCATTAATCAAAAAAGGACAGAAGAAGCCCTACCTATAGATAACTGAAATGATTAAGAAGAATTTTGAATAGGTATTTCTGACAGTCAAGGTGCCTACAATATTAATTCTATCTGAGCATTAAGAAATCATGAGTACACTGAAATCTGAAATTATTTTTTAAGCTCTGTAGCCAACTAAAATATGTTCCTACCAAGATTATGGCAAGTATTTTTTTAACATAACCCTACCTTTCTCTAGAGTTTCCTGTAGAGATTTCTTCCACAGTTGAACAGATTCTTCATATGATCCTAATAGAAAATACTCTTCACCTAAAATTTTTTAAGTAAAAATTAGTCATAGTTAATTACATAACCTTATAAAAATTTACTTCATTTTCAAATTCAATGGATACTTCTCAGTCAGAAATTATTTTGAAAAACAAATAATTGTAACCAATTAATAAAATCAAAGCCCAGTTAACTATAGTGCTTATTCATGGAGTTAGAAATTATTTATAGGATACTGACCATTTATAGATTTAAGTTCTAAGGTTTGGTTCAAGTGATCTCCAGCAGCCTGTAAGTTAGCCTGTATATGACATAGCAGGGACTTGACAGTAGATGCTTCACGTGTCATCTTTTCGATTAACTGTCTGTCACCTTTAGGAGCTCTTCGACTTAATTGTGCTTGATACCATGAAGTTTTTTTATACAATACTCTCCAGAGAACAATCAATCTGCACACAAATTTAGATAATCATCAAAAGCAAATTTCAAACTAGGGATAAAATGAGGATAGCCCCCTTCTCGGTCTTTTTTTTTTTTTGGCCTGTATTTTTCACTAATAACATATATATATATATATATATATATATATATGTATATACACATACATACACAAACTGATCAGTCTTAAATATAATGCAAAATCCAATGATAAAAGAATGCATAATATATATTAAAAAATTCTTCATAAATGTTTTATGCATCGGTGGTCATTTTTCTATAGTGCGTAGGCAGAAATCAAAATTTTAACAATATCACAGTTGCCCAATACTAATATGAGTGTTGCACAGCATTTGGTATAAATCCTAAAATATTTTTAAATAACATAAAATCTATGTCAATTATAAAAGAGTTTCATTTCAAGGTGATGGTAACAGTTGTACAACCTCGTGAATATACTAAAAACCAACGAACTGTATACTTTGAAATGGTGAATTTTATCTCAATTTTAAAAAAGGAAAAATATCTATAATGTTGATGGTATCATAATATTCAAGAAAGTAGTTATACCTGTGGCCTGGGCTTTGAACAACGTTTACTACTTGAGGATGTATCTTGAAAGATGAGTTCCAAGACCATTTTTCCTGAGAACCATAGTTTTGAAACATTTGAAAAATAGGTAACACCAATGAGTCTTGATCTGCTGTTTTACTTCCATCAGCTGATGTAGAAATAATTTCAGGTTGAAGATTATATACACCATTTAAACTGGAAGCCACCATTTTAAGTAAATAAAAACAGGCTAAGAGCTTCTCTGAGAATAACTGACCCTGCTGTTGCTGAATCAGCAAAAGTTTTATAGTATGTGAGGCCAGCTTTACTAAATGTCCCACATCTTGTTTGTATCTCATATCCCAATACTGGATTGATATACACTGATGAAAAAGTTGAAAGATACAAAGCATCCATGCATTATCTCTTGGGCTCTTGCCTAAAAAAATATCAAGTTTAGGGAAAGGACATTTTACAAATTGAAGAATGTAGAAAAAATGAGTGATACAAACTACTGTGTAATTTAACATTAAATTTTTTTCTGTCACATTTTTTGAAATTCCTATATTCCATGCTGCAAGGAGATTTTTCTGGATAGAATGCAGTTCTGTAATGGTTCTGTCTGTCTCCTCGGTGTCATCCGTTACATGTATCGTATCAAACATAGATGCAAATTCCAATTTTCCCTCCTTGACACTACCAAATAACGGGTCATTTTTTTGGTTCCAAAAAGGAAATAAGTTGTTTGGAAAGTGTTTGCCTTCATTAGTTTCTTCTGCTTCAAAATCCTAAAACATGGGGGAAAATTACACTTAATAACATGTACTATATTATAATAGAATAAATTTGGTGTCTTCAAATTTCTCTGCCCTTTAACAAGAGATAAACAAAATCTGTTTCTTGGAATAAAATCAATACATAATTGTTCAAAATAAATAAAACACTGTTGCTACATACCTGCAAATCTCCTGTTTTTTCATTTAACTCCAGCGTTTCTTCTGCCTGCAAGAATTTGGGAACAGCTGAATCAGCTGAATTTTCCTTTCCTTGGTGTTTTAACAGACTAGACCTTAGGGAATCCAGTGATCGCAAGTTCAGCCCCTTGCCTTTGGGCTAAAGGAGAAAGATGAAAGATTGCCAAGAGTAAAATTTTATCAATAATTTTATTACAAGAAATTTAAAATCTTATAAGCAACTCTATACCATCCCAGGACATTACTGTCAGTACAGTTTAATTTAAAAAAGAATAAGACACCAACTTTTAAAAGTTATTTGCCAATGATAGCAAAGAAGTACTACACCTTAGACAGTACCACACTTTGGTATGTTTTCTCAAGCCTCTGGGTTGAATCAAGTAGAAGTGATCTCATGAGCGCTGATGGAGACAGGTTATCAAGAAATCGAAGGGTTGTGACCATATACCCATCAGAAATAATGAGGTAGGGTAGCCGGGAGTGTGCTTTTATAGAAAATCTCTGTCTCATAGGGTCACTATCGGAAGCTGATGAATCTACAGAATCATTTGAATCTTGAAATGTAAACTGCTGTGGTCTAGCAAACAAACATCAAAATACAATAATTAGTAAGAGAAAAACCTTAAAGGAAACAATCATATTACTCCAGAGAAAATTAACACAGCAAAATTATACTAAAAGTAACAGAATAACGACAAAGCAAATAAATGAAGTAAGAAAAGCATTAAATGCGTCTATACAGTTTGTTTTGTTTTAGGTTTTTTTTTTTTGGCAGGGGGGAGGTTGTTGTGTTTTTTCCTCCAGTTGCTGTTGAGTCGACTCCAGCTCATGGTGACCCCACGTGTGTCAGAGTAGAACTGTGCTCCATAAGGTTTTCAGTGACTGATTTTCTTGGAAGTAGATTACTTTCTTTCTTCCTTTCTTCCAAGGCATCTATGGGTGGACTCAAACCTCTAACCTTTCAGTTAGCAGCCGAACACATTAAACATCTGCACAGGGACTCCTAAATGTATCTACATCTTTCAGGAAAACATAATACAGCTGATTAAATCATCTATAGGTTTACATGGGCTTTTTAATTTTTTCCTGAATTATGACATTTACTCTATTGCTTTTCATTTATATTTCAGAAACTGTTTCAGAAAAGAGTAATTCACCCCAAATCACACAGTTAATGAATATAAGAACCAAGATTTGAATCCTGACCTGCCTGATTTCAGAGCCAAACTTCCATCCCATCTCACAATTAAAAGTTAAAATGTGGCTAAATTCTAAGGTCATCTATCCATTTTCAACAACTTTTTCTCTTTGGAAAAAAAGTAGATAAACCCAGGTGGCAAATTAATTTTGAGATTAATTTATCTAAGTGTTATTGTTTTACAACAACATACGCCATAGATTGGTCTTATGAGTCAGGGTCAACTCTACAGCAACAGGGGACAGGGTTTTTTTTAAAATTAACTTTTATATCAAAGTAAATAAATTTTGTAGCACTATTGAATATTTAAATAATTTATACTTACATAGTCACAATGTCAAATTTTCAGCAGGATTAAGCCACAAAAAAGAAATAGAAGAGAACTATAAATAAGAAACAGATATTGAAATGACAGACTCAAAGCAAGAATAAGACAATCTGAAAGAGGAAATTATAAAAAAAAAAAATACACACAGTAAAATAATACCAAAAGAGAAAAGTTCTGTCAACAAAACAATTCAAGTATCTCACCTATACGTTATTAGCGGATGAAGAGGAATAAATTCTGCTGGCCCAAATTCTATAGCGCAACCAAGCGTAATTAATGTTAGTAATTCACCCTGGCAGGTCAATAAAACCAAAGAGCCACGTTTTAACACACAAGTCAGAAAAAGATTATCATGCGTCCAGCTGACATCACCTACCCAGTAGGACCTAGAAAAAAGCAAGAGCCAACATATTAAGACAGGACTCTCTACAATGTCTCTGACAATTTACAATGGGCTATACCAAGCAGGGATTAGACATTTTAAAAAACAAGGTCAAAGAATGGATTTTAGGCAATTACCACACACATTTCATGAATTTTACTTCCTAGGATAAACGTGGAGCCCTGGTGGCACAGTGGTTAACAGCTCGGCTGCTAACCAAAAGGTTGACAGTTCAAATCCACCAGCTGTTCCCTGGAAACCCTATGGTGCAATTCTACTCTGTCCTGGGGTGTTGCTATGAGTCAGAATCATCTCAACAGCAAATTTTTTTTGGTTTTAGGATAGAGGTAAGAAAAAGAAGTTTGTTCTACCCCACAAAACACCCAATCAGAAATTTACTTGGATTCATAAGCAACTTATCAAATGAAAATTCTCCCTAAAAGAGTGTAGCTTTTTAGTTACTCACATTAATTGGAATGAATTTTACTCCAATTGGAGTCCACAATCAAGACCTACTGATAGGTGTCAAGTCCAATCCTACAGCTTACTAGAGTTCTACTCAGCAGTGAAATCATTCTCTTCCCAAAGCTGTCACTGTTATTATTCCTTAACTATCTGGTAATCTTAATTTTCATGAAAACAAAAAAATACCTTCTCCTCATGCAAATGATGGACACCCTAAGTCAAACAGACCACTTAACTGAGAATAGTAATACTTCTGGAAAGCAATTTTTGGAGAGGTAAAGAAAATGAAGGCACAGGGCTGAATCAAATTGAAAATTTTGGAAATTCAGAGAACAGCACAGAAAAGTATTCAGAAAAGGAAGCAGGGGGACTTCAAAAGGAAATCTTCCTATTCTACAATCCTGCTTATGTCCTGATAGCTCACTGACCATCCAAAGTCATCTCCTGTTAGAATGGTTACACAACTTGAATAATGTAATCAATGTCACTAAACTGTCCATGTAGATATTGCTGGTGTAAGTTCTGCTGTGTATATCCTCAACAACAACAACAAAAGTTATCTCCTATGTTGCTACTGGCCCATATGCAGAGGATGCAAACTTCATTTAAAAGGCTATAAACACGCCAGCCTCCCAGAGAAAATAATGGTCTTCATAATCCAGGCTTTTTCATTTCAGCCTCTTCAATTAAGACTAATTATTTCCCTACTCAATCATGATTCCACTCCCCCTAAGAAGACATAAGAAGAAATGAAAGAGAAAAGAAAATATGTTCCTGTAGCTTCTACTCCACCAGACCTTCTTTAAAAAGTATTTAAGGTAATGAAGAAGTTAAACTGTCCCTGTTTGCAGATGATATGATATTATACACAGAAAACCCTAAAGACTCCACGAGAAATCTACTGGAACTAATAGAAAGATTCAGCAGAGTGGCAGGATACAAGATAAACATTCAAAAATCAGTT